AAGAAAGCCTTGGTATTCGCTTTCTTCGCGTTCACACTAGCGGTGTTTTTCTGCTTCCCAATCTGTGCCGCTTTCCTCTTCATTTTCTGTCGTTTCGCTCTCGTCAGCTTGCTAGCAGCCTCCTCGTCCTCCGACTCTGCATCAGAATCCTTCGTCTCACCAGCAGCCATCTTGAGCGCATCTCCCACTCTCCAGAATTTGATGTGATAATCCTGTCCTACCGTCGCCACAATTCCCTCATCCAAATCAGCATGCATACTCTCTATCTCTGCAGCCACTGGCTTCCCTGTCGAGACATCTGTGTGACCACCTAGAACGCCTTTCACAGCATTAGGGAAAACGCAGAACACTCGAACGTATCCGTCGCCACCTCCACACACGACGGTTGAGTCGTCAACGGCAATCATGTTGTCCAAGGATGTGACATTCTGCATGTGCGTAATCCTATCCCTAACATCACCCCAGTAATCATAGTTCCAGATCCCCACGACACCGTTCTGATCCCCGGTGAGCAGTTTCTTGCCATCTTTCACTAGACACATAGACAGAAGCTCATTCTCTTGGCTATCGCTCATGGCCTTCAACTTCTGTTTATTATATCGAAGATCATAACATGCGAGAGTGGCATCACCCGAAGTAGACAGCAACGACTTGGCGTCATTTTCAACGAGTAGTTGTGTGATGTAGTCTTCCTGACGGTCTTCATCTGGGAGCTTCACAACAACACCTGAATGTGAAAGTAGCGATTGCATTTTCTACGATTCTGTTCAGTTACGTCAACCTCTCGAGGACTGGACGCCCCATGCAGGAAAAGAATGTACATGCGTATCGGTGTATGTCAGAGGCTCATGCAACACCGAGCAAAGATTATGGTCCCGAAAAAGCTCACTCGCTTCTCCAGGATGAGTTGAAGATGTTGATGTCAAATATTTTTGGCGCAATAAGTGGCACCACGCGCTGTATGGGATCTACCCTCCCATCACTACTCTTTTTGCGATGTATTCGAGAGTCGAATACGAGGATCTGTCCCTCGTCTGAGCCTGCCGCCACCAAACCGCTGTCGTTGATTACTTCCATCGTCGAAACCCCTGCATCCATCTTACTGGAGAGCCAGAGCTGCTTTCCCGAGCGGTCATTTCGGGACACCCTGAGTGCCACACAGCAGACAAGAATAACAACGGGAGTTGTAGTCAGAAATTGATGTGCGCGCAACACGGGAGTGATACGCGCTTAGAAGCAAACTTCCACCTAAGTATGGTGTTACTCGGGAAGACTTACGTCCCATCTGCAGACCCCGACATTATCCAGTCGCCTTGTGTCGGCTGCCATCGGACAACGCGGCAGCTCTGTCGGTGGGTGTGGAAGTGACCAACTTTCTCTACCACACGAGATTCTTGGTCATACCTACGGAGCGAAGAGCCAGCAATAACCGTGCATCGAGTTTGTGCTAGCCCCACGGCTAACCCGCGATGGCGTGTAGTTATCTCACGTATGGAATATGACGTCTCCAGATATCGTCGCAGATGCTAGTAGCTGCTCAGCCGGATGAAACCGGACATCGAAAGTGTGCTCTGGCAAAACGATATCAGGTAGTGGCGGCAGCGAGGACGGAGCCATTGTAGGGTACTAGGAGCCTCCACTGACTGTGTACAACCTCAAAGAGGCTACCTCTGCGCTCAGGAACGACACTCATACTAGTGTGACGTGTTGCTCAACAAGTTGCACCACTCGAGTAGATCGATTACGGTGGCGTGCGCTTATCGACTTGAACAATTGCGTTCAACCAGAACATCCTGTTCACAGAGTCGCAGATTCTATGGGTAGGTTGGTCGTTCCTTCTCATATCTAATTTGGTGGCAGCCCTGGGCAATAATTGTAGGAGTTGAACCCCCGCTTTGATACCTTTGAACTCGAAAGGGTTCAAAGTTTGTAGTATTTCCACACAGGCCTGAGCGCTGTCTCGTTTGTGAGGCCAGAGGTATATGGCGGACTATAGACTGTGTGTCAGCCCATTTTTCCTTCTTTCCCTTTGTTGGCCTCCTCCCACTCCTTCTCCTACTCGTTATCTACTTAGTATTTCCCCAAAGTCATATTGAGTAGAGCCCATTCATTGCTATTTGACATCAGTAACTACTAGTGCAATTGGTAACGAACCCTTAAGAAGAAGTAAAGCAGCAGTCAACTGAAACGAATATGTCTCAACAACAGAACCAACAATCTGAACAGCAACCCTCTGCTACGGGTCAGCCCGTGGCGCCACAGTTGCCTCACAATTCGGGAAACATGCCCGTTATCCCTAATTTTGGAGGGAATGGTGGTGAAACTAGAGTAAGTGGCTCACTGTAACAGCATAGGTGTAGCTGTGCTTATTACGCTGCTGCTCTTTCAGGATGGCAACTCCCCATCTCAGCCGGCACATCAACCTTCGAAGGTACCCTCAGCCCTATAGTGTCTCTAGTTACCGATCCTTCAGGTTTTATATGTACGTAACGTTCCGGAGTCGGTGACTGAGCAGGATATTATCGCTTATTGCCTCACGTTTGGACGTGTGGTCAACATATTGTTGCTCAGAGATAAGAGGCACGGATTTATCGAGTTTGAGGTGGGCCTTCGTCAACCTCCCAGTAGCATTAGGCACAGCATTTGCACAGGACGAGTCCTCTGCTATCAAGTGTTACACCTACTATAACGCGAACCCGCTTCTTATCACTGGCCACAGATTGGAGTTCGCCTTCTCGGGCAGGTCAGAGATCACAGCCAGAAGGGTACCACTTCATGAGCAATTTCGTTTCATGTTTCCCAACTTTTTTCCAGGATCCCGATTCTAACCCGCCGAACCGTATCCTTCTGTTCACCATAACCAATCTGGTATACCCCGTCACCGTTGACGTCATATCTCAAGTAAGTCGATGATGCTGGCCAACCGCCTCACTCGCCTCTGCCGTGTTGCCTTCCCTTCATGCGTTGGCCTTTCCCTTTCAGGTAATGAATAAGTTTGGTGGATTGGAGAAGGTCATTGTATTCAACCGCGGCAATGCAGTCCAAGCGCTCGTGCAACTCGCTGATGTGGACACAGCCAGTAAGAGTCAAATTGGGTTAACGATCAATAGGTTATCTTTTGTTGTTCACTCGCAGACGTAGCTAAAGAGCAGCTGGATGGTCAGAACATTTACGCTGGCTGCAACACGATCAAAGTACAGTACTCCTCGCTGCCTCAACTGGAGGTCAAACATAATAATGAGAGAAGTTGGGACTTCACAAATCCGAGCTTGCTCCGTGAGTGTCGCATATTCCTTCCACGCTTGTATGCGTGCGTCGTTCTTCAGCCGGTGGTATGGAAGCTGGCTCCGGTCTCACACCTCTTCACCAGCAGCAAATGCTCGGTGGAGCTGCAGGAGGTCAGTCTCCTGCCAACCTCATGGCCAACTTCAACTACGTCCAGGCCATGAATGCTCTATCCCAAGCTAATCTCCAGGTGGGATAGCAACGTGTAAGGGCCTTCTCAATAACGCGTTCTGCCCTCAGAATCCCTCAGCAGCGATGGCAGCTGCGGCGGCGGCACTCCAGGCCAGTATGGGTGGGGCGGGTGGTGGTTTGTCGGCGGGTGGTGGTTTTGGAACCCCAACCGCTGCTGGTAGATAAAACTTGAAGTGTAATATGTGCCATACTTCTGCTCGCTCAGGGGCGGCTCCGGTTGTGATCGTTCACGGACTTAATGAGCAAGAGACGAGACCTGATGATCTGGCAGCGCTATTTGCCGTATACGGCAATGTCGTGAGAGTGAAGATTATGTTTAAGGCTAGACACACTGCGCTGGTGAGCGGCCACTTAACGTGTTTCAGCTTGGTGTAGTTGTGAAGCTGTAGGTTCAAATGCAGGACATGCAACAGTGCCGTACAGCTATATCGTATTTGCAGGACGTATGGCTCCATGGGAATCAACTCACAATGGAAATGAGTAAAGGTGGAAACATACCCCCTATCCCACCAAGTAGGTTTGAGATCGTCGAGTAGGGGAGTGTTTGGCTGGAGGAATTTGTCGGTTGGTGGAACTCAATTTTAAGGTACACCTTCCAACCGTGCCGGCATGGAGCTTCTCACGAAGGACTACTCGTCACAAGGCAATCTGTATGGCCGCCACAGGATTGATAAGATGACTAAACCCTATGCTCCTAGCACCAGTCTGCATGTCTCTAACATGCCTGACAATTGCACCGAGCAGGTAGTTAGAACGGTCAATATCGTGAAGGCGCTTCCGATTGCACTCATGTTCGCTGTCTAGGGATTATTCTATCTCGTTCAGGACCTCGCAGACGTGCTGGCTTCGGTGGGATGTCAGTTCTCGAGTATTCGTTTTCTTGACGATCAGCATCATATTGCCATAGTGCAATGTCTCACCCTGGACAACGCCATCAGCACTCTCTGTCGTGCTCATGGAAGGTGAGGAGATATTTGATTAATATTCTCATTCGTCGTGTCAGACTTGTCGGAAATCCCCCAAGACCATGTCGTATCGGCTTTGGCCACGGAGTCACTGGTCCAAGTCCTGGTAGCAGGAGGTCTCAGATGCAGCACGGCATGCAGTCACCTGTAGCTCCCCAAATGTTACTGGCCAGTGTGAGACAGCAGCAAGGGAGCTTCCACGCGGATCAGGGCGTCAACAACCAGAACTTCTAATATGCACTCACTTATGACATTCAACACAACCATTCGCTGAAGCCTATCTCAGAGGGACATGATTATCCTCAATCGTATGTCTCTGAGTCAATGTGTGGTGAGTATGCTCTCTTTGTGGTATGAAACTGTCTTTTTCTGACTCTGCTGCGTAGAAGCACCGGTTGATCTCATGTAAGTTCTATGGGCTGTTGGTGTCGGTTTATCAATCACTTATATCGTATATGAACACCGCGATCGCTTTTATCGCGGCCGATTTCTCCGAGTACTATTGGTGGTGTCATTATCCCGTCATATAAGCGCTGAAACTTGATTTCGCATTCAGATGCGAATGCAGCTCTTCAGCTCTCACTCTTCGACTCATTATCCTTTCTGCTACTATTCCATGTCGTATGAGTATTACATAAGTCGTGTCTTCTGTCTACTAGGTGTCCATATTAATGTGCTTTGGACGTATGAAATTTACGTTTAGCTCGTCGCCTTGCTCCTACCAGTTATCCCTATGTGAACACCTCCGAAGATATTTTCGACGTAGTCAGTTGTATCCCAATCCTATGGTAGTCACCCACCCAAAGTGATTCGCTTGGGGATGTGGTTCTCAATGTTAAATTGTGATTACTTCGAGGCCTGTAGCTCAGTTATTGATAGTAATAGGTTGTAATAGAGTTGTGGTCGTTGTGACGATATGAGGATGATTTTTTTGAGACGATTTGATGTCCTCTGAGTCGTTGATGGATCGATGCCTGATTATATATAAAGTCTGGAGTTGAGTCTTGTCAATCACCAGCCGCTTCCGAGTTCACCGAGGTTCGGTAGTCTCTTAGATAGGGCATGTGATAGCAGTCTTCATAGATCAGTAGCTGATGCCCGAAATCAGGTGGATACTTCCACGAATAACAGAAATGCTACTTATCGCTATCGTCAATGGAAAGATCTGTTCGTGATGTAGGGCGTGCTTTTAGGATGCTAACATCAGCCTCAACACGAGCCTGTATCAACTGTTGTTCCCATGGACGTTTCCGATCGTGAGTGGTCCTGGTCTCCAGCCTGAGGATTCTTCCCTGTACTTCCGCACTAATCACCCATTCGAGGGGAATCCAATTGTCTTTGAGCCAGGATGAATTCGCCAGTTGTTGTAACACATTCGGTAGTGTAATTGAGCTTATGACTTTGAGGAACAAACGCCACTGCTGCTGAATTGCTTTCGAGATGTCTGAGCGCGCTGAGATAACCGGGCACACGTAGAGTTATGTGCACGCATGCGCATACCTTCTAATGCAGTGCCATTGTCGGTTTGAGTTCCACTTCGGGATTCCCGCATAAAGTCATACTTGCCATTTTGCAGTATCTGGAGGACTGTGATCCGCTTCCAGTTCTCCTCCTCCTCGTGAGTGACATAGTCTATTCCGTCGATATCACGCTGAGCCACCTTTGTTCGCAATTACGCTGATTTAGAGCTGTGATGGACTTGACGACGGCACAACTGGATTGCCAGGAATCAGATAATCCCGCTATGATTATGACACATTCAAACAGGTAGTAGCTCTCCAACAGGGTGTGATCATGCAGGCCGTAGTAAGGATAAAAATTGGGTTTCGAGAAGATATTACTAGTCAGATTGATGTTTTCACAGATCAGATGAGTTGAGGCAGAGTTTGATAGCCAAAAAATGTTTATTCAGTGCAACACTTTGCATGTTCACTACTTCACATTTCGTAAACGATACACGTTCGTTGAACTTCATCAATGTCGCCTTGTGTGGTGAGATTACGGTCAAAGACCGATTGGCAGTTTTTCTGAATAGTTCTTGCATCTGCTTGGCTCGAAACTCCGGTTGATTGACATATTTCACTTTGATGTCATGCTGACGAAAATTTCGTGAGCTCCACGTGATATGGATCTCGCCTCTCTCCAGCTGGTTACGCAAGCAGAAGATATGTTCAATCATTGGATATATCTCCTCCTTAGGAATTGAATTGCAATTAGAGGAAACGATGTTATACGAACGCATTCGCTCTACTCTCTCCCGGATGAGATCAGGGAGAATAAGTCTCCTCGGCCCATGGAGGCATTCTCGAGGGAGATGCCGCGGTCATCACACCGTGAAGGCACTCGATAAGTCAGCATCCCATGAGATCTTGATAGTCTGGTCGGCCTCGTGACTATTCACGCGAATACATCGCTATATTGTAACGGCGTCGCTGCTCTGTTCGCCGTTTATGACGATGTTCGAACGGTGAAGGCTCTCGTGGAACCACGACAGTCTGCTATCATACTAAATGCACTTAGTCTCTCGGGGGGCCCGCTTTGAATGCGGGTACAATACCGATTATCGCAAACTCCTATAATCGGCTGTGAAGTTCTACGGACGGGTACTCAGGTGCGGCTGTTCGACTTCGAACAGTACGCGACGGCTGTGCATGACAAAGGTATGCGAAGATGTAGTCTATTGGCTCCTGTCTTAGCTTGAGCGGTATCCATACTACGCAGTCTATTCTTCGCTGAAGGTATCGATTCCTGTCTCGTTCAGTTGCCGAGCTCTCTGCTGTTCCTCACTGGATGGTGGCATTCGAGTGAATTGACATACGCATTCACTGATCATTTATAAGGGAGAATCTTAGCGTGAATGCATCAGCACTCCGTGACTACTGGAAATTACGATACCACCAAAAATTTCATCATCGCGGTTTCGACAGTGTCATCAGTGAAAATGGACTCATTCCTCTAACCGTAGTGACCTCCTATCTCTATAACCGATCTGATACATGTTATACAAACATATATTGGGAATCCATATAGCGCTGGCTGCGCCGCTACTTGTTGTGACACATCATGTCGAGCTGTCCCCCTTGTGCTAGAGAAGTCACTGTTCTTCTGTTTTGGAATGTTTTGGTCATCTTTCAAATGGCATCGTGTATTTGTTCTTAGTTCTTGTAGACTTGTGAGGAGCAGTAGTAGTAGAAAGGCAGTCAAGGCTTCGTGAGTGGTGTGGTAGAGCGGAATTACGCGTTTTTCTTATGGCATTTGATTTCGTGGATTTGGATTCTGTTGTAGACTGCTTGGGTTTCTTTCTCTAAACTCTTGTCTGACACCCCCTTCCCTGGTCGTCGTCGAAGAAGTGGCTCCTATCGTTGTTGACCTAAGTAACAGTTTTTTTTCAAGCAGAATCTTCCGTGGCAAGTTACTACCTACTCCTCGAGAAGCACTCCGCGTATCGTTTACTACTACCCCTACTTTTGTCTACAACACTTTCTTTAGCATCTACATTTGCTCAAGGAGTTACATTCCCATTGTACTAAGACCCTTACTGTTCCTTCGTTTTCCTCATTTACCACTATAGTATCATCATCATCATCAAACTATCGAACGAGTATGTCTGCTAATATTGATAACACATCTTTTTCTTCAACCACTGCTACTGTACAAGAGAATACGGCGAGCAGTGAGCCCGGTGAGCATGACGCTCGTCCACGCCAATCACCGCAGACTGGAGGAGTACCTGGCGGCATCTCAACTGGCTCAGCTTCAAAGGAGGAGGATCATCATCAACAACAACAGCAGCAGCAAATTGGTTCTGGTGTTGGCCCTGCTGACTTGTCCCCGAACAGCACGACTGTGCCGAACTCTACTCCAGGCAACGCTACTTTCAACACCACTGCTACACCAACTATGGCAGCCCCCTCGTTACCTGTAAGTTGTTGGTATAGGGAGACTTGGTTTCGTCCGGTGAGTACTCTGTTTCTATTCAGTCTAACGGTTCGATGACTTACCAAGTTGCTTCTTCCCCAGCGTCATCAGTTTCCCACACAAGCAGCAAGGTTAGTCGGCATTCTCCTTTATTTTTGCTAATGTGGGGTTCGTTATTCAGGTCCTTTATGTTCGCAATATACCAATGTCCCTGAGCGAGCAGAACCTCATTGCTTACTGCCAGTCTTTTGGTCAAGTGACTAATATACTGATCCTCCGGGACAAGCGTCATGGCTTTATCGAGTTCGAGAACGAGACGGAAGCTCGTCGGTGTCACGCCTACTACAGTGCCAACCCTCTGACTATTGACGGCCAGAGGCTCGACTTTGCGATATCACGTTTCAGCGAGATCACAGGGAGACGCGTAAGATGAGTACATTTGTCCCTGGTTTTGATGTTTTTCAGTATCCCGATTTGCACCCGCCGAACCGCATTCTGTTGTTTACCATCACCAATGTGGTTTACCCAGTGAATGTGTCGATGATAGCACAGGTATGTCGTCTCTTCTCATTTGCGATTTGCTGAAACAAAGCTTCTGTTGTAGGTCATGAGCCGCTATAATGCCTTAGAAAAGGTCGTCATCTTTACCCGTGGGAACGCCACGCACTGTCTCATTCAAACGAGTTCGCTGGAGGCCGCTGGTAAGGCTCCTCAAGCATAGTTCGGGTTGCCTAGTGATGTGTTTCCTTGCTCAGTTGCGGCTAAAACCCAATTGGATGGGCAGAACATTTTTACTCACTGTAACACAATTAGAGTCCAGTTTTCCGAGCTTTCCAAATTGGAAGTCAAATATAACAACGAGCGCTCCTGGGATTATACCAATCCCAGTCTACCAAGTAGGTGCCGGTTGGTTCTAGTTGTTCACCATTGTTTCCATCTGTTTCACGCTCTGTTTTCTCAGGTGGTCCACCGGGTGCTATGGCAGGCTCTGGTCTGCTCGGTCCGCAGCAGCGAGGTATGAACGGAGGTAAGAACTGTCGTCTTTCCGCTCTGGCTCCAATTGTTTCCCCTGTGATGTTCAGTCGCTGCTACCCCAGTCGTGTTCGTCCTTGGGTTGAATGAGAAGGACACAACTCCAGATGACTTGGCTGCTCTTTTTGCGGTCTACGGCAACGTCGTTAAAGTCAAGATCATGTATAAGGCTAGAAATAGCGCTTTGGTACCTAACGCGAGTGTCCTCTGTTAGCCATCTTACTCGTGTTTGCATAGGTTCAAATGCAAACGGTTGGTGAGTGTCATACGGCAATCGCCCATTTGAAGGGCATTCGGCTACACGGCAACAAGCTGACTATGGAGATGAGTAAAGGTGGCCGAGAACTGCCGCCGATTCCTCCGCCAGGTAGGTTCGGTTGTCCTTTCAGTGTTGTAGGTTATTGATTGCTGTTAGGCGCCGAGCAAACTGAGGCTGATCGCCTGAGCCGGGACTACACCAGTCAAAGCTATCTGTATGCTCGGCATCGTGCGGATCAGACCAGCAGACCCTTCCCACCCAGCTCCAGCTTGTACTTCTCCAATATGCCCCATGGGACCACGGAGGAGGTGGGGTGGTCGAATCGCAGTTTATTCGTCGTACTTGTCTTTCTCAGGATCTTCGTGAACTGTTGGATGCGTCCGGGTGTCAGTATACTGGTATCCGTTTCCTCAATGAGCAGCATCACATGGCCATTGTGCAGTGTATCAGTCTTGACAACGCTATTGAAACACTGTGCCGTGCTCATGCTAAGTAAGCTTGTAGTATTTCGGAACCTCGCATCCTTCCTGCTTTTCAGACCTGTCGGTCATCCTCCAAGGCCGGTTCGCGTCGGGTTCGGCAACACTGTCCCGAAGCGCCCTGTGACCCCACCATTCACGTCTGCACCGATAGCCGTGATGCCTACTTTTGCAAATGGAGCTCCTATTGATGCGTTGGCATATCAAGGTCGCAGCCCTCCGGTTCAAGCAGCTACTCCTGCAGGGGACATGTCTGTAGCTGGTTCTTCTCAAGAGTCTTTTGAGATGATGAGTGGCATCCGAACTATGCCGAACCCGTACCAAGCTATGATGATGGGCAATACTCGAGCGCCGCCACCAGGAGTTCAACGGCAAATTAGTGCTGGCCCTCCTGGCGGGCAATTGTATTCGTCTCCAAATCCGATGAGGAGTGGCAATAATGCTCAGCAACCTTTTTGAGAAACTGTAACATGATGTTTTCCTGATGTGGGGTAGTCTTACCTCTTGAACGAGTCCGGTTCGTATAGTAATGATGATAACGCCTGATTGTTGTTGGCATCAGCCTTGGCTGAGGCCGTTTGCTGCATAGTGATTATTATGCTTGTTCGACCGCATTCCTGCCTTTCCAATTCGCTGGCGGTGTTCAGGGGAGAAAATCGGAACTCCCGGCTTGGGAGGACAGTTGTCCTTTATTGTTTATGGTTGTTTCGATGCTGTTCGTATCCTCCATATTGATTATTTTAATCCTGTATTTTCTCTGTTGAGCAATTCGCCTTGTACCGTTGTTTGCTATTGTTGATCGCCTTGCTATAGTGCCGGTCCAACATACATACAGCCAGCAGTCGTGGCGCCGAACATCATCATCGCCGATTTTGCCGGATGCCCGAAGAACTTGGGGGAATTCCCATCAGGCGTCGTGGTCAGCATTATTTAAACAGCACAAGTGTACTGCCGACTCTGTTACCTGTTTTCTCACTGATGTAGATAGTGTTTGATAATAATAGTGGCCTGAAGAATAACTGGGTTGCGATTGCGTGAGAAAGGATTTCTTGCGAATATCTATTTTTGTTGAGTTATGTAGTATCATCATGATACACATGACACGCACATGATACTATCATGTGCGTGTATTCGTTCGTCATTACACATTGCACTCGCACCTTCTACGATCCTAACATGTGAGTCGTTCGCTAGCTTTGAGGCTGCATCCTAGACGTCGTGGTCATTGTGGCTAAATATGATCATCAGGAGTTGGGAACTCAAGTTGGGCAGAGGTTCAAATGATAGTGAGTATTAGCCGGCAATGTTTTCGGCGGGTTTTGCAGATCACCAAACCACTTATAATGGTTGATGACATCAATTTGATGTAACACTTATGTAACACAGGGGATGTAACACTTACAAACCTGAATAAAGATCATCTCCTTCTACCACCACCACCACTCCTCCAACCTCGTCGTCCACCACCACCACCACTGATGCAGGCGTATTACTACGCCCAAATGCCCGTTAGAGATGCGATGCGGCACTATGGCGGCCCCGATAACAATATATATGAAGAGCCATACCCCTACCCTCCCCCTAACGCCCCTCGCCACGCCCCTCCCACTGCCGCTCCCCGCCGTAACCCGTGGCCTTAACCAACAGAGGAAGCAGGCCATACCATCTCTTTCGCTCGTGGCGGGATCCACTCTTCACCCCGGGGATTTTTCCAGCTACGGAAACATGCACCACACGGGCTCTATCTTCAGCACCCAAGGATTCAAAGACTCAGCTGGTCCTCAGTGCTCACCCGCGCAGCTACTCCGCGGCTCAGATTCAGTTCCGCTCTCGTTTTTGAAATCCGCAGCCTTCTATGCCATCGTAAGTTTTTCTTCGTTGAAGTTCGCGACGGCGGAAGTTCCGCCGCGGAACATAGGCTCACACTTATTGTAATCCGCCCCAAAGTACGATTAGCATCCGTAAACGAAGGACGTCGATGGGACCGGCCTGGTCGTAGGCAATCTAACAATGTATGAATGTTGTTGTCCCTCTCTGCACTGTTTCTGCGATTGCTCTATTGGGGCAGCCCTCACGCCCATGCTTCCCGTTATTTTGGTATATAAGAATGATCCACTACAACTTGCGCTCTGTGATAAACCGCCAGGACCTGCCGTGCTCGCTTCGGGTTGAATTTGCAGCTGTGTTTTCTATTCAGGATCCAAATAATTCAATTGAATTGAGACTCGGGCTACATAAGTTCTGGATCTTTGTCGACCATGTGTGGGACGCGCTATCCCTTTTTTCAGTGTAGGACGGGAATGGGTACGGAGATCAGAATCGCAATGCACGATCGAGGAGGGGGCAATTCTGTCGTTGTGAATTCGAGGTAAAGAATTCACGAGGAGGGCAATCTGTCTGCCATTTGGCCATCGCGGGAGTATTCCGGGGGGTTTCTCTTAAAGAACGTAACTACTATTGCCGCATTCAAGATATCTGCAAACGTACACCAAATCGAGGATTTAGGAAGACTGATCGGCATTAGGACCTGATGATCAGATTTAGTTGGTATAAGAGGTTGATCGGTCGTCTGTCATGTTATACGACTCATATACGCTTCGACGATTGGAGTTCGATCCCATATAGACAACTTACCCTGAACTATATTACCGGGGAGATAGTTATCGGAAACGGGTTCGGAGCAGAGATCAAGCAAAATGTGCATACACCACAAAGTCATCGAGCATAGACTGATGTGTGGGGGTGCTCAGTCTTAGCAGCTCCGCCGAACTGTCGCGTAAATGACAGAATGTTCAGACAGACGAAGATTGTCAAGTTCACCATGTCAACACGCGTATGTCAACTCTCAACGGTGGTCCACTATTAGTAGCACATTCTACGAATTTGGATTGTGAATAAAATTTCAAACTTCGCACCAGATAATTCCGGCTGACGCAGCATCAGTGACGCTCATCGACTTCGTGATCCAGTTTTGATCGATTATGTGGGCGAGCGCGGAGTACCGCCCATTATTGAACAATGCATCTGTATTGTCACGGAAACCCCAGATACTAGTGCGAGACCGTAAGTCAGAGCTAGAGCCCAAGATGAATCTTTCGACGGTTTCACTGGAGACGAAACCACTAATTAAGTATATATGATATGATGACGATTAGTATGTGACTATATAGTTGGCATGAGTGAACCAATATTGCTTGCTCTCAGCTTGCTTGTTGGTATTTCCCTATATCTCAACTCTGCTCCTCCCCCGGCAGTTGCGTTGACAGAAATCCATCAAGCTATAGTCTGTGACAGTATTGAGCAATGTATTCAATGTGTCGGACGTCCCGTCCGAGATAGGCCCACCAATGGCCAGTAAGAAGCTGATAGATGAATTAGTACTATTGATACCCCCTCTTTTTGATCGACTATTCAACAGCCCAACTGTGGTTTGCTGATTTCGCTCGGATTACATGCAATTAGTGCATTCCCATATTGAAACGGCTGAAACGGTTGTCTCCCTTTTTGATTCGAAGAAGAGATTAGGATAAGAGTCATTACTTGTGATTCGTGATATTCTCGTGAGATTTGCCTACTGTGCCTTCCTTGGTTACAGTAGATCTCTAGACTATCAAGCGTTTCGACTAGCCCCTTTCGTAACTGGTTCTTCTAGTTGCGTTTCCTTCGAGTTGGAGTCACGGCATTCAACATCGAAGTATTGACGAACGTGTCGTATTTGCTTTCTCTTGAGCCTTCAACAGTTTACAGGTACTTCCTTGCCTACCTCTAGGCTCAACCCTTTGCGACACATCTGCTGCCGTCCGACTACTGTGTGTTTGATTTACATCCACTTGAACCACAACCTTTGAGAACCTCCCCACACATAGTATTCGACGCATCAAGCAGGCTTGGCGAGGTAATCTCTTGTTGCTGCTGGGCAGGTATTTATTCGCTTCAGACTACGCATCCACTGAATACTATCCACTGGATAGTATCCAGGCTGGCGCCCCCAGTGGGGGACCCGGTCCCCCACTAGCGTTCATCGCACGTCCAGGCGTCAAGGCGTCGGGACCAGCGACTCGGGAGCAGTTACTTCGTCATGAATCATCACTGATGACATAAGGCAGGGAGCAGATGTAAGGAGATGGTAGTGCATCGGGTTGTGATCTCCTTGTCTGCTCAGACTCTGAGCCTCAGAGGTTTACGTTGTTGAGTAATCGTGATTCCGGGTGTGATTTGGTTAAGTGCATTAGTGGACGGCTGATCGTAAATCTCCTCACGAGTTCTTACGCCGGATTTCGTGTATTCGGCATTGCTGCCTATCTGTATGCGCAAGAGTCCGGACTCCGGATCGCAGAAACCCTCTGGGCCTTCGGCTCTCGAATTCTGTCCGGATCGATAGCAAATACCGTTCTATCCTATGCCGTTTCGTATCGGTATCCGACAACCGGTCGGATAATCCGACCGGTTGTCAATATGGTCCGGATCGATAGTAACCGGCGTTCTATCCTTGCCGATCCTTGTCGGTATCCGACAGCTCTGTCCGGATCGATAGCTAATGCCGTTCTATCCGACCGGTTGTCAATATGCGGGAGCTCAGTCCGGATCGATAGTAACCGGCGTTCTATCCTTGCCGACTCTTGTTGGTGTCCGACTGCTCTGTCCGGATCGATACCAAGCGGCGTTTTATGAGAGGTCAATTCTTGCAGCTGTCTGATGGGAAATCAATGATTCCAAATCATCTTCAGCCAACTGTTGCTTCTGGCTACCAGAGTCGAGCAATCTGTCATGCATCCGACTCTTGTAAATTTGCGCCGGAACACGGTGATGATGCAGAAGGCCAGACTGAGAAGTCCTTCCGCGAAAGGACTTGATTATTCACAGACACCTGAGTGGGCCGGCATTCCACTCGATCATAGTTGAGGAGCTGCTTGGGGACTTGCGGAATACCCTCATATGGACAGTTGTTTGTGTAACCTGTTTCCGCCCGATATGAAGCAGCCACAGAGAGAACACAACTGTTCCGTATTTCACGAGAACGAGAAAGGCAAACGGAATGCTCCAGAGGCAACGCCTGGTGCGAGTGCAGAGGGCTCGAAAAAAGTAGAAGGCATAAGCGACAACGAGCACTCAGGCATCTGGTAATAGATGGGTATAATAGGGTCTGTAACTTCTGGGTATAATAGTACGACTGCTCCAGGCTGTTTGCAGGTCCTCTATATGAATATAATATAGGGGATCTGAAAGCAGTCACAATATGGTTGATAAATTGTTGTCGATGTGAGAGTTTCCCAGCAAGGCTGCTGTTCTCAGGGCGATGAGAACCGAGAGCTGCGACTGAAGGCTACGGAGCTCGAAGATGAACTACAGCTAGAGCCTGTAGCCTGTACCTGTAGCCTACAGGTATTGGGTTCAATGTTGACTTAATGAGACTGAGCCAGCCTGGCTGGCCCAGGCATCGGCGGCGACAATCCCACCGCAGCTAGTAAATCTTGTTTTCCTTTCAGAGAGAAGAAGTCAGTCGGCTTCGCTATGTGCTTGCGGATGAGCAGGAGCCTCCTGCCAGGAGGCGACCAGCAGGAAGCGAGCAAAGAGCGTCCAGGTTAGAACTTCTCACCTCGCGTCTCACCAGGCAGCGTCTCCTACTCACGAACTCCATCTTGGTATACACAACATAACTTTTTACTATGGATATAACTCTTTCGGTGGACCTGTGCAGCGGTTAACAGCTTTCAGGCTAATCTGTCCGATACACATCTGGAACAACTTGTCGACCACGCCGTGCAGTCAACAATTACTCCAGCCGTGAAAGGTTTCAAAACGACCATATCTGATCTTCAGAAGCGGATAGGGGAACTTCTGGCCGAGAACCGAATGATACTGGAGAATGTCAGTGGGTTTCTTCACGTATCGGCCGATGGAGCTTTTTCTTTGGTCAACTGCACAGCGAAGAGGCCGAAGTACGAAACCTCAGAGAGGATGTTAGAGAGTTAGAGGAACAAGTGAATGCTAAAGACGAGATTATTGCTGAACTGGAGAAGGCAAAGACTAGAAAAGGCGAGAAATGGCACGCCTCGAGAGACGATGCAGAAAATGTAAGATCCCACTCACCCGTATTAAAGCTCTTCCTAATCGGATTTCCGATTGGATGGCACAATTCGTCAGTTGCGTGGTGAGGATCTGCTGGTTGACTTGCGAGGAGAAGCGAGCGATAGTCGGGATAAGGGTAGAATATCAAAAGAGGAGATACGGCGGCAGAAGAGGTATGGGTGGCAAACGGCTGATGACGGGCACGGAGCAACCACATCAATGTACAAAAAGTTCGAGGTTATACTACAAGACATCGCGCGATATCCTAGGCGGTCGCTTGCAGGTCTCGGACAAAGTATTACCTGGTAGCAGTAGCACTCCGCTCGCCAGTGATGAGTCGTTCAAGAGTGTCGTTAACGAGGACATGACGAGTCCGGATATGGTACTACGGGGGCTGAATTGAGCTGGAAATGTTCGTCTTAGATTTTAATTGATTCCCTTCTATCGAGTATCACAATCGCTCTTCTATCATCAGTTGCTTTGCACGACGGATTCGGAGTGCTCAGTGGAGAGCTCTGATGGAGAAGCCGCTGGGAAGTCTAGAATGCGAGATCACTTCAGGAAGGTAGCTTTGGGGATTAGAGTACGTTTCTTGGCGATTAATTGTCGCTATGCCAGTTAGTTAGTAACTCAGCGAAAATACACAAGGCTGGCGACAGAAAGAGTCGGACGAGTTCATCAAGCAGCTCTCCTCCATCCATCGTAAGCAGTTTCTTTCGAGAAGATGTATGATTCAGAGAATGTGTTCATTGTATCCTTGTTCAGGCCAAGACGCTCCGAACAAATAGAAGCCAGAAGATAACTCTGACCTCAAGCGGCTATAGCAGTCAGAAGGATGGGTTTAAAATAATAATAGACTCTGCATTCAACGAGAAGATGGGCCTCCTCGTGTTGCTGGGTTCACAGCAAGTGTATTCCGGAACAATCGAGCAGCGTTCAGAGAAAAGAATTGTGCTGAAAAATTCTCTCGTTGAAGGCAGCTTAGCCAAAATCATTCGCGTTGAGGCCACTCAACTTCGGCCCGATTGTCTGTGTCGGACGTATTTCAATACGTTGGACGTACCTTCGAGAAGTGACGAAGCAGCATCATGTGATTGAGGAACTACACGCATCTGTCGTTTCTGATTTTATCACACAGATTTCCTTCCTGGCCAGTATTTGCGTTCAACAGTGTAATTGGCCGTGATCATGGGGTTACTAAGAGACTCTCGTAGAGGGAGCCGTCGATGCTCGTTCTCAGCGTTGTCACCGAAGCGTACGTTACGGGAGAGTACTATGGACGGCGGTGGAATGTATGATCGAGTGCAACGATACTTTCACCAATGGTTCTTGCATATCCAGATTGATCGCTCGATTGATGTACTCAGCGTGCGCGTTTACATGTTTGTAATTTGAATAGGATACTCTCGAATTCGTCAGTTTTCCAATTCTCAAAGGTCACTTTGGAATTCAATGCCGATCACACTGGACTGGAAACTCATTCATCGATTCGAAAACCTGCCTGGGACCACAAAGCAAGCGTTCAAGCAAGCTCTTGTTCGCCTTCAACTAGGGCACGGCGTGCGGAACGAATCGACCAAGCCCGACAATGAGGAGGCAGTTTACAAATGTACGCTACATTATCCATGTACACGAAAATATAAGCTGGTTCGCTCCGGGACCACGGTACTCGTGTACGAAACAGGTAGGAGCCTCGCCCATCACTATGCGAATTGCTATCACACTGTATCACAGGCAGGAGCGTTTCTCCTGACTGAGGATAAGCTTTAGGCTATACCTGTGTTCAGGCCAGCATGGACCGGACCGACTACGCGCAAATCATCCCCGAGAGATTACGGACCTAATTATCCGTCAGGCGAGGCATGGTATAACGGCGAGTGATTACTTATAGGAACGCCGTTTGGCAAACACTGTTTGCCATCCCCTTCTTTGCTCCATGATTCCTAGTCAATGAACAGGAGGATGCAATCGTCGCGTCTGCAGTCTTACTGGGCCTACGAGAAGCATACGTTTCCATAGTATTTCGTCCTACTATAGCATTACTCGTAATTAGCCGCAGGAGGATAATGGAACTACATGTGAAGGCATAGTAACAAGTCATACAATCTCAGGCGTAGCCCTAACTTAACGTTGATATCCTAAACAGACATTATAATGTTTAGTACGGAAAGAACTCTCTCTAATCTCACAGGCAGCCCAGGTTCCGCTCCCGACATTTCGGGGATAGTAGACATCCTATTGAGGTTTATTTGATATTCTGAACCATGCGAACTGCTGGGAGTTATCAAAAGGATCAGATTGATGAACAGAATCATTGGCAGGATAGCCTGGCGAAACTATCTATTAGAGACAGGATTTCCAGAGCAAAACTCAGCCCAGAAATTCTGTGAGGGACACCTCATAGTCGTGAATAGTTCGTATCAGCTCATGCTCGTCCGATTCTTTTAATAGCCTCTATAAGTGAGTGGTCACCTGCAAAAACTAGGGTTGGGTCGAAAGGAGGGCACTCCTCCAAGAAGGGGTCGTATTCATCAAAAGTGGAATATTGCGGGGGCATATCGTCCAATCGAGAGAATAGTGCCATGGCACACATGGGAGGTGCCGAAGACAAGTCACAGGGTCCAGCAACATCGTTCAGGCTGAGAATGGAAAGTACACAATGCGGAGAAGAACAGTCTGTACTTGAAGCCAGGACACTGTGCTAAGACATTATGACATAGTGTGTTACATAGCGGGATTTTTCCGACAACAGGGACGAGCGAGTCGGAAGCCTGGTACAGGAGCGTCACATACGACTCACTCGCTCATCCACTTGCGGGACTGTGCACATGGGGAAGATTGACGCGCATTGCATTGACATATATGCAGCATAACATTTTTCGTACATATCGCCTGAGATGCCGTATACAGTATCTACTAATTTCTGCATAGTTCATGGTCTTTGTACTATCGGATTTGCCCGCACGAGAGGCAAACAAGGCAGGAAATGATGCCCTGATTCCGTTCAACATCGAGCTTGTCACCTCAGCCATCGAAAAGTCCGCGAATGTTACGGGGTATTTTATCTGTGAGACCATGACTTCTCTGAGCATGGAGTTACGAATGCATTCCCTACACTTCCAGCACATGGATGTCCTACGACCGGAAAAGCATGAACTAGCTTCCCTATGCCTCACCGGGATTTGTATCACCCTCTGGGAGTGGCATGCAAGGTAAGGGTTGGTTGTTCCAATTCTGAGTCAAACC